TTTCTTGAACATGAAAGCAACTTTTCGGGGTTTTTTTTTTTTTTTTAGACTTAGTTTTTTTATTTTAAAATATAGGAATAATAAAGAAAGATTTACTTTCTTTCAGACGTTGAATAAATGAATGGCAATCATGTCTCAAACAAAATCTTAAATAAGTTGCCGTGTTTCGTTTTACTTTTATTTATTATTATTAGATTTTAAACCCGATTTGGATTTCCGTGGATTTTGCTTCAGCCACGACGAAAATGTCTGAATAAAATTTTGACTAAAAAGAAACCTTTAAAAATATTGAGAAATTCATGTTCCTCAAAAAATCCATTAAATTGGATTCAAATCAATAATTTTCATTAAAAAAAACAAAAAACCTTAAAATTAACCCTAAACAAAAAATGGGGGGGGGGGTAATTAATGTCGTCAACCAATTTTTTTTTTTGTTCAGTGAAAAAAAAAATCGTGATTAAATTTAATTCGAAGAAAGAATTATCCTTCCTGCTTTATTTTAATTTTCACCTTTTTGTTGATTAGAAAACATTTGTTTTAAAGCAAATTGTTTTTTCTAATTAAAGTTTAATTTTTAATACCTTATTTTTTTATTAAATAAATTAAAAAAACACTTAGTCTTTAATGATTAAAGTCGCTTGCAGCTTGACATACAGAAACTAAATGTCTCTAAATCTAAAAAGAATCGGTTTGTTTCCTTTTTGTTTTTAAAAAGTTAATCAAGATTTCGGTGATATTTTATTTAAATTTTAAATACAAAAACGACGAGCCCGTGTTTCGTTGAACGTGAATAAAATTTAAAAGATTATGATAAATCATTAAAGCCAATTTCGCGCTCCTAATCCAAAATTTAAATTAAAAATACTTTAAAAGAAATAAAAAGCATCTTAAAAATTTAGAAAAAATATTTTTAATTTTAATAAGTGTGATAATTTGAAACGCTAAACTACATAATCGCTAATAGCCGCTTTTTTTTTAACCTCTTACCCCCCCGTGTCTCTGTAGTTGCAAACCCCCCCTCCCCTCGGTTCTTAATTTCGCAAATGCAATGACTTAGGACGACAAATTTTTAGGATCTCCGGCAGGGGGAATCTAGTGTAGTACCTGTTCTCGTCTTCATTAAGCTATATGGAGGAGGGGGGGGCTTGGACTCCACGCAATCCAATCCTTTTTGATGTGAAGGCGTCAAAACAAAACGAACAAAAAAAACGTATCCCCAATCCTCCCGACCACTGTCACGATGGCATCGATACTGCACCGACTTTCTTTCAGGGGGATGCTTCTCTGAAAGTGAGTTGTTTATCACTCCAATCACGAACGGCCAAGATTTGGGCAGCCTGCCTTGTTCTTCCCAATCTGCTTCGTCCTTCTCTTTGGACACGTGTGTTTCGTCATAAGAGGGTGACGCCCCAAACGAAAAACCCCGATAGACCTCTAGAGGACCACGAGAGATGGAGGAAAAAAAGTTATTACTGGTTACCAAAATTAGGACGAGACACTGAAAAAAATCATGTGATAAATTTTCTTCTTACCGTTATGTTTATTTATTTCATTAAATGGCATTTCATAGTTTGAAATCATTTTGGAGAGAGAATAAGTTTTTGGTATTTTTTTTTTTTTTTTTTTTTTAACCCTGATTTCTGTATTTCATTTATGGGGAAGTAAGAGGTTAATTTGAAATTGTCAAACACTGTTCAATAAAAATTCTCAATATTCATGGAACTCTAGGGAAGAAATAGCAGGAAAACTTAGTAAATTTAAAAAAAAAAAATTATCCTTATTTCTTTATTAAAAAAAATATATATAACAAGGAAAATAAATACCGTTTTTAAAAATATTGATTTTTTTTTTTTTTTTTTTATCAGATTTTTTTTTTTTCCTGTTCGTGAAATTCTTCGAAGATTTTTAAAAAGTGTCGGTCGAGTTTTTTTGTTTGTTTTTATTTTTTGATCGTTGCAAATTTTTTCTTTTAATAAAAGAATAAAAAGGCAATATTTTGAACATAATTTTTTTTTTTTTTTTTTTAATGTTCCAAAATGTTAGATTTTTAATAAAGAAATGTGAAGAAATTTTTTTTAAGTTTTTCTCTTCTTCCCCGAGTTCCCTGAATATTTAAATTTTTTTTTATTGAACAGTGCTTGACAACTTCAAATTAAAACATCTTACTTCCCATGAATGACGTACATAAGTCGGAGGTTAAAAAAAGGGTAACAGGCATGAACCCATAATTCACACCAACCATTACATAAGTCTTGCATAAGCAATCACTAAGTAATAGGGTTGCCATAGTAACGATATTTTTTTTTTTTTTTTTTTTTTTTTTTTTTTCGGTTTTTGATAATGTTGGTTTGTGATGTGAGTGAAATGTCTACAACGAAATTTTAAAAATCCTCCAACTTCATCGAAACCTTTTGGATGAAGCAAAAAAAAAAAAAAAATCAAAGAATACCGGGGCACTCTCTCAACAAGAAAGAAAAAAAAAAAACACTTTTTTTCCAGCCAAAATATTTTAAAATAAAATTATTTGCCAGTCATTTCCAACATGTTATATTTCTCTTCGGGAAAAAAAAAAAAAAAAAAGATTAAAGTTAACAAACTTTTGAAAAATCAATTTCCTCCTTCCAACAATGAACTGAAACCTCAAAAAGTTAAATAATAAACACATAAATTAATTAAAGTTTAATTTCATGTAGAGAATGGAATGGAAATCCATCAGATGAAGAACAGAATGTTTCGTGGCGGCCAAAGTTTCTAAAAAAAGACGAGACTGGAAAAAATTTTTAACAAAAAAAACTCTTTTTAACGAATAGGAAAAGAAAAAGAACTTTGAAGTTATTAAATTGAAATTTGACAAAGCCATAACGGATTTCTGTGATTAATGAAGAAATGTGGGCTGAAGAGGGGGGTAGTGTATTGACAAGAAAGAAGATTAATGTTGAAAAATATTTGTGCAAAAGAAAATAAATGGGAAATAGAATTTTTTTTTTCTCTTAAGCTATGGACTTATTCATGTCAGAGAAAACTTACCTACAGCAAAAAAAAAAAAAACTGTGATCCAACTTGTTTCAAATGACAAATGTTTTTAAAATTGATTTAAGTCAACAAGACACAAAAAATAATTAAATTATTCTACATAAACATAATGTTCTTGGAAGTTCCAACCAAGTTCTTTTTTTTCTTATGTTTAAACAAGACCTTTTTAACTGGTATAATAATAATAATAATGCCGACGTTAAAAAAATGTAAGTCAAATGATCAAATTTGGCGGCAAATGTTTTAGACTTTAAAAAATTTCCAAAGATATTGATGTTTTTTTTCTTCTTTAAAAGGCATCATAAAATTTTAATTTTAAACAATATTGGCAATTGGCAATAAAAAAAAAAAAGTATGAAACTTTTTTTTTTTTTCCCCTAAAGGTTAGGAGTAAGACGAAAATTTTATTCCCCCCGCCCTTTAATCATTTTTCCTAAAACTAAATAAAATTTCAAAATTTTTTTTTTTTTCTTCAAAACCCAAATAAATTTGGCGGAGTCAAAAAATTTCAGTTTTTATTTTATTTTTTTTATTTTTATTTTTTTTATTTTTATTTTTTTAAAAAAAAAAAGTCACTCAAGAAGACGATGTTATTAATTTTTTAAATGACAAAAAAAATACTCTAAGTTGAAATATCTCCTATTTACTGTATAAAAAAAGATTGCTAAAAAATATTTCTCCCTAAAGTAAAGAATTATCCAAAGAAGGTAGGTTTATTTTTTTTTCCTTCCTTTGAACAAATTCTTAATCACAAATTTTATTTATCGAAATGTTTGCTCAGAATATGAAGCGAGTGAAAATTTACAAATTCTAAATGTTGTTGATCAAGTTTTAATTGTGTAGGGAGGAATGCTCACTATATGAGGTTAGAATGAAAAAAATGAAAGTGGGGGGCATTTTTAACAGCATTGAATGAGAAACTTTTTTCTGTCAAAATAAATGATACCGTTTTTTTTTTTTTTCTCAGACGAGACGAAAACAAAAATTTAAAAATGGGGAAGCTCATTTGGACTTTCTCGTTACCAACCTCTCCACAAAGCAAGATGTGTCAAAAAGCCAGTTTTTAACGTGGGGTGTTCCAAGTCCATAGGTTCGGAGATCCCGTATACATGGGGTCAGGTTTGTCTACCTCCCAAAACATGACTCTGCACTTCGGCATAACCTTGTCTGGGTTCGTCTGTCCAGAGGCAGAGAGTTCGACGAGAGGAAGAGAAAGACTCCTCCACCCATTTGGAATATTTATTGTACAAATGTGCCCCAAGGGCAGATATGGAATGGGAGGGGAGGCTGGTCTTCAACTAGCTTACTTCTAACTTAGCTAGCCTCATTTACTGACCCAATCGTCCAAATATTGTTCCTTTCACCAAAACATTTCATCCACACAACAGTACAATACCACATCCACTCAAGAAATTTCTACTTAATCCCCATATATACAGCTTTTTGGCGGTGGAGTTAATAAACAATGAATCCCCAATGTTCATGATATAAGAATTTACACAACTAAACAAAACTAATGTTAGTAAACAGTCCCCCACAATCTAAACATGGCAGAGATAAGTTAACTGGGCAAAAAATACTGCAGAAATAAACGAAATTACACATTCAAAAACGAAAGGCATTCCACAGTTTAACCAGAGAACTGCAAATTCTGTCATCTAAATGGGGGGGGGGGAATAAAGAGGCCAATGACCCTTCACACCTTCTCCGTCCATTTGGACTTTGGTACCAAAACATTTCTAGTTTTGTTTCTAACCTTGGAAAAAAAAAGTCATTCTCTCATAATTTTATTGCTTAAAATTATCAGAAAAATAAATGATTTGAAATTAACAATTGTTAACTTACTGTTAGAATCAATAAGGTTAGACTTGTGTGAAACTAAAAGCAAGGCTGAACAATGCTGTAGCCTATCGGACAAACCCTGCTAAACCTTAATCTGCAGCAAGGTGATTTGCAGTACTGCTTTCAACCATATCCTGTTGAAACACCAGTTCACATACAATCACTTAAGTTAAGCAACATTGAGCCTGGTCAGTACTTGGATGGGTGACTGCTTGGAAATACCAGATAGTGCATGTGCAGGTGGTGTAATGGATAATGACTTGGGATTGTTAATCAGAGATCTGAGTTCCAATTCCAGTCGGGTTCTTTCTATTCACTTATGCCCAAATATGGTATGACTCCCGTTTCCCCCCAGTTCTGGGTTAATTAGTAAGACTTCTATCACTAAATCATCCCCCCCCACACACACACACACACCAAAAAAATTCTTACAACTTAAAAATATTTTCTGGCTTTAAAAAACCTGCAAAGGGTTCATAAACTGTAGAAAACAAATCAATCTTTCATTGCTGCACCAGTTCTTTTATAGGATAGTATCCAGGCATGACTTTGTGACATTTGTCTTTACTGGGTAGCAAATAAATTCCTTTTATTGGTATCAAGTTTTACTTATGGCTTTCAGGAAAATAGAACGTGCAGTCATCTGCATGTAGAGTTGAAATTTTGTCAAAGTTTCAATTGTGCCTGTGGAAAGACATGTATCCAACTTAGGGCAAAGTTGGTTATATTGCCTTGGATGGCAACTCTGAATTCAAACCAGCCTGAAAAGAAATGTTGCCCTAGACACACCTGCTACTGTTATTACTACAGTAATTAGGTTAAGAGATTCATGAACCTGATTTTAAAAATAAGTTAAAAAGCCAACAGTAGTTTAACATTTTGTACAAACTAAGTGGAAGTTGTTGGGTTAACTCCTCCTAATTTTTGAGACTGTTACCAGGAGATGCTCTCTGGCACTATAAATACTCTGCAATAAAATTTTATCATTCTCTTCTTACTTTCCACTTATGGCAACATGTAAATTTCATGCGGAAGAACGTGTTTCCCTTTAGGGAAATGCAGGAACAATACACGCACACTCACTTCACATACTTTGGACGAAAAAGTTTCCACATTCATTCGCTACACACATCGTTGTTTTTGTCACTTATAACCCTTTGTTGTCAATACATTATCATTTGGTTATACATATATATTGGTTCTTATCATTTTTTTTTACGTGAACTTTCATTGCGAGTCCACCATGTTTGTTGTGGACATTTTCGGGAGACACAAGATTTTATCTCTCAACGTGTTCACTGGCCAGCAACAAAGTATATCGCATAATGTCACCTAAGATTGAATAATTTGGGAACTAATATCTTCTTCATTATTGTTAGTAGCAATTTATTTAATTTTATTTTTTCTGCTATGTTTTAACCATTGTACACTTGCTTTTTTTTGTTCTCATCAATAACCTTCAAGGAATTTGAATTATGACTTTCCTCATTCCCTGTTCTTCAAGATTCATAAGTTTGTGTTTTTTTTTTTTTTTTTTTTATTATTATACTATTCTGTTTCTCTGACTTAAGGATACCTACATTGCAAACATGAAGACAAAACTTGCTACTTCTACAGACCAAATTTACCTTCCAACAACCTTATGAATAAGGAATAGCATTCACATTGACTCTTCTTGCTGTTCAACAGCACAAAATTAGGAAAGGGAAGTTGTAACAGTTGGATTCCAAGATTAAATGGGTTTACAGCCATATCATGCTGAAAGAATGGTTTTTATACTGTAAGGATACAAAGGGCAATATCTCCCTTTCGTGGGGATGAAGTCACTTCATGGCAGCTTAGTGATTCCATACAGTGACAAAAGTGGTAGTCAATTTCAGTTGGTTTACAGGAGTCAAAAAAAGGACTTGCTTTTTTTTTTTTTTTTTTTTTTTTTTTTTTTTCTTTTTTCTTTTTAAAATCAACCTCTCCCCCAGCAGCTTGCAAGCTGCTGTTAACTTTTTTGTTAACTCCAGCTAGTAGTCCTCATTTTAGAAAAACCCAAGATTTGCTGTTTCCTGTTCATGGAATGCTTGAGGCATAGATGAATCTGGAGTACTAAAAATGGCTTCTCCAGAAACACAAAAGAATCTTCATGTTATATGTAAGATCCTTCATTTTTTTCCCCTCATATTTGCTTGCTGTATAGATCTGATATATTATTCTCTACATATGTATATATAGTTTTGTGTATGTCTTAGTGGTATAAGTCTTTTCTGAGTTTACTCTCAGAAAAACTTTTATGTTGCATGTTTGTCATTCCTTTTCCTTTCAGATGATCCATTCTGTCTGTTAAATACAGTGTTATATATCATGAATATAATAATGCCCATCATGGGGGAAACATAAATGGAAGAATAAACCTTTCTTCCAAGCTCTCCCATTAATACAAAGTTAAGCAACATCGAGCCTGGTCAGTACTTAGATGGATGACCGCTTGGATGTGTGGGTGGTGTAATGAATAATGGCAGAGAATTGGAAATTGGAGAACTGAGTTCCAGTTGGGTTCATATGTGCAAATACCTTTTAGGGAAAGGTATGAATTCACCTCTCCCCACAAGCTATGGGTTAGTTAGTAAGACTTGTATCACTAAAGCATTCTCAAAAAAATAAAAAGTTTATACAATGTAAAAATAATTCTTGGCTTTAAATAACCTACAAAAGGTTGATAAGCTGTAAAAAAAAAAAATCAATCCAAGAGTAAATGGAATCAGTAACATGAGGGAGAAATGGAAGTAACAAGTGGTTAAGAAATAGAAATGGCTTTTTCTGATTTGACCAAATGATTAAAGGCAAAAATAAAAGCTATCAATTCTGAGATCAGCAATTATGGGAGAGAAACAATGTTGGCTCTAGAAGTAAACTGGATGTTTGGTTAGTTTAACAGTATCAACTTTTGTTGGATTATTTAATATCAAACACAATTTTAATCTGACAAATCACAATGAATTACTGAATAGTTAAAACGCCATTATGTTCTGGGTATGACTATAGACTACATTCGATAGCAAGGCCTCTCTGATCAGGAGATTTTGAGGACTGTGGAACCACCTCTTAATTTCTGTTTCCAGGTCCACCTTGACCAGTGGCAGTAGCATCTGATAGAGTACCAGCTATGGGCAAATAGTTAACCCCAAACTGGGATCAAAACACAATGAAAGTGTAAAAATAGGTTTTGATACTAGCAATACATTTCTAAAAAAAAAAAATTCAAAAATACATTATTTTAACAAAAATATTACCAGCATTTAAAAATCTTGTCAGCATTAAATAACCCACTGAGGTTGATATGCCATGAAATGAACCAAACCAAGCCAGAGTTACCATTTTTTTTCTTTTGTTAAAAAAAAAAAAAATCTTTCTTAACTATTTAATTTTTTCAACTTGAAATCACACAACAGCTTCTCCATTCATTTGACACGTGGGTTGTCTTCACATTTACTCACTTAACTTTGGCACATTGTATCACAACCCAGTCACCCCCCCCCCCAACAACAACTGAACCACCTTATTTTTCTTTGATTTCATCAGCCTCTTTCATATTCCAGCAATCAGGAAGGTCATTATTTACATTTATTTTATTGGCATCTTTTGAAAGTGGACAGCTTATTTGTCTCATCAACTTCATCTTCTGATGTCTTAGCATATCGATGGTAAAACATCTTCCTTTGCATTTGGTTCAAATTCGGTATCAGTTTTTTTTACCTTTATAAAGAAGTCCAATACTATATGACATTGCTTCATTTTTTTTTTTTTAAGAGGGTCTCTTGTTTTATTTTTATGTTGACTCTTTCAACTATTTTTTCTACACAGCTGCCGTTATCTATTTATGCCTTTCAATGTGTGTCAATAGGCATGCAAGTGTAACTAACATTTTACATAGACCATTTGCTATTAATATATATGATTATTTTTGGATAATCCAACAACTGGTTAGCTAAGCTTTTAAGAATCGGTTCACACAAACTGGTAGAATGGCACCACTGAAAGTCGTCCCTTTTGGGGAATGTTTTAGATATCTACTAGAGATGCAGTTACTATATTCTAACCCTACCAACAAGGCAAAACAAAAAAGAAGTCTTATGTTAGATATAATTTTATAACAAAGGAGTTATTTTTTAACAGAAAAATGGATTCTAGTAATCAGTGACTTAGTCAATTGTCACACGGACCCTTTTTCTTTTGTAATCATTAAAATGTCTGTTTTATCATCATATTAAAACGAGATCCCTACCCCAGTTCTTTTATCGGTAATTTTGTGTCTTAATCAATTTCATATCAATTTTTGTTTGGTAAACGCCAAAATACAATTTGAGAAGTGAGGCAAGATCTTGCAACATACTGCCTCAAAGATTTTTTAAAAAAATATCTCTTCAAAAGTTTCATCAGAAATACAAATGAAATATGATTTTGGATTGAATCATTGAACCATCTTACATTAATCTGACATTGCTTCTTGGAAACCTCTTATGTATATCACCCTATTGGATAGGGGATTAGACTACACCAACTCCACTCCTTATAGCTGGTATGACCCACCACACACACACACACACACACACACACACACAAAAAAGGGAGTGGGGCCTACTTTCTGAGTAGATACTTGTGGACTCTGGTATAAACTGGACATTTCTACATTTTTTTTTTCTTTGACACTAGTTCAAATCTGATTTGTCTACCGGTCTATTCATAGTGATTTTTAACCTATAAAATTGACATTAAATAACTTGACAAGAGTTGATGTGTCATTAAATTAGATTGCGTAAACTGGCTCTTATGCATATGAAGGTGTTCAATTGTCAAATCCTGGAAAATGTTGTCTTTTACAGAGTCTTTGTAGCCAAAATGTAAGCTTCAGCCATTTAAACACATATCTTTTGGATTCTGAATAGGAATGATTTCTAATGAAACTTGATTTGTTTTTAGCAAGCAATGCCCCACATAGACATGCTATCAATATTTAATTCATTTACTATCAGAATTCTTCAGAAGTTGCAACTTAGTTTTTAACAAGCAAAGGAAGCTTGTAAACATTTTTTTTTTTAATTCTAAAACTGAAAGGATTTTTTGGGAGGGTGGAGGAGACCAGAAGAAAACCTCTTATCCCAAGTATTATGAATGACACAAACGAAAAAAAAAAAAGCAACTCTTACTCCAGTGTGAAATCTGAAATAAATTTATGTTTGTTAACTGACATGACAAATAATAATAGTGCAAGATACAAAATTTACAAAACAAGCCTCCACAAAATTTTCCATTGCGTGCCTAACACTTAGGCAAGATAACAAGTTCCAATTACAATTCAGTTGGCTCATAAAAAAAAACAATTATAATTATTAACAAAATATTCACTTCCTTTGATTTATTTCGCTGTTGAAAGGAGTTGAGAAGGTTAATGATTCACAGGTGTCATTTGATTTCTGGTTTGTTTGGACAATAGTCTCAGTTTGTAAAACTATTTAAATCTTTTATTTTCATAAATTGGGGTTAATACATCCTAATTGTGACAAACTTTCACAAACAACAATAAAAAAATAAATAATCTCTCTAAAATTGTAGAAATTTCTTTCATTCCTTTCTTTCTGTTTCTTCCTATTCTTCTGTTACCCCTTTTCTTTCATATTGACAGCTTTTAGTTTTTGTTTGTTCAGTTCCCAAAAACAGCCCATTATCATTTGTCTGTAGAAGTCAAAAATCTTCTTTCAGCTTTTCCTTTTTCTCCATCTCTAACTTCAGCTCCTGACACAAATTTCCTTTGAAAGCCCTAACCCTGCTGCTTTTTAGTTTTGCTCAGCTCCCAGAAACTGCCAACAACTTTCACCCGTGAAAACAAATCTCTTCTGTCTGACAAACCACACTCCTGTGGCACCAACTGGTGTGGTTGCGGCGCGAAACAGTAAGGTTTCTTCCACCAGTGTTTTGGGATTGACTTTTTGTCACTGCCACCAGCCTGTGTCCTGGTCGTTCCCGGTTTGATACCAGCTTTGTCATTCTCAGCTTGCCTCCAACACCTGGTCACTGAAGTAGCTACTTTGATCTTAGGTAGACAAAATGAATCTGGAGTAAAGGTGATACCGCATAAGCGTAGGTAAAAAAAAAAAAATAATAAAACAAATTCAAGAAGTTCAAATATGTTGAGTAATAACAATTATCTTTATCTGTCTGTTTGTTTCTCTCCCAGCCCGTTTCTATGGATTCATGATACTTTTTGCATTTCTTAAGCAAGTTATGGTATCTTAAATCGTTCGTGAATAAAACCTGCTTTTGGTGGGAAGACTAAGTCAAGAAGACATGGAAATCTTTCAGTCAACTTCTGCGAGGCAACACTCTGACTCTGTAACTCCGACCGTGTCTGCCTAGCTGCCTCGAGACATTCGTTTATATGGATACTGATCAAAACCTGGTGTGGGGGCCTGACATGGTTTGGGTTCCTTGATAATACTCAATTCCCAACAAGAATTCTTAGGCCAGGAAAATTAATTACTTCCCATTTTTGGAAGGTTAATCACTTTCCACTTCGAGGGTTCCTCCCTCATCCGTGAGGGAAGGTCAGAGGAGAGTTACCCTCCTAGACTCTTCCTCTCTCACATTGGTATCTCATACCAATCCCCTCAGTGGGTGTTAACAACTTCTCCACCTTTCTCATACATGCACCTCTGCCTATCACCCCTGCTACCACTTGACCAATGATCTCTAGGCAGCGTGGGTGTGGCTAGACTGGCCCTCTTGAAATTATCTAGAATTTTGTTTACAAAATCCTTTTTTTATTTTTCCTTCAGCCAAAACATCTACAAATCTCAGATTGCCAAATAATTCTTATCACATCTTGATTTTGGGGACACTCAAAATCCACTTAGCCCGGACCTCTACCGACACATTAATCACTGTCAAAACCCGACATCTGGTTTCTCCACTAGTCAACTTTAACTGGTTGGTCTCTGTTTACCTGAGAATCAAATTCTTTATTTTTCTCATGCCTTAAAATTCTCTTATCACCAGATGCTCATTTTTGAGTCGCTATGTCTGATGTCAACAGTTTGAATAAGCAATAATAATGATTTCTTTTTCGATTTTCCTTCTCATGCCAAGATTTGTGCATATACAAGATGGCTTTCTTCGCTGGAACCAGGAATTAAAGTTAAATGATATCTCTGAAAGATGATTAATATTGATTATCCCCACCTGTACCATGGCTTTGTTCAAGCCAAAATGTTTTTATGGCTGCCCTGTGTGGCCGGTTCTGCCTCTCTGTCTGAATTCTGTTTTGTTTGGCGCGTCATCCCTTATCGTAACATTAAATTAATTTTGACATAATCACAATACAGATTTTCTGTCTTATGCGAAAAGTATCTTTTTTTTTTTTTTTTTTTTTTTTTTTTTTATAAATAAAATAAATTCTTTTTAATGTCGCTCAGTATATCTTTTGATATAGCTCTTTCTCGCCTTGAGTATTTCCAGTTTTTAATTTCTATGGTTAATTAGTTAGCGAATTACCATAGCTAAATAGTGTCACATTCCTTAAATAACCACAAATTGGATCAGTATTAAATTCCTGATTGATTCAATGGAGTTATAACTTATTTTATCCATTGATTAGAAAAAAAAAGAATTTATTTAGATTTTGAGACCATAAGACTTGAGTCTTCTTCCTTTTTTTTTTTTTTTTTTTTTTTATTATTATTACAAATTTTGCAAAACAAACTTTATACATTTATCCTTTTTATAAAGGCTTCATTTTAGCCCTGGAAAGAAAGTGTAAGAAACAGCCTGTTGGTTTTTATTTACCCTTTATTTTTACATAATTTTATATTTCTTTGTTATGTGAATTTTTATAAAAGCTTGTAAAAATATTCAATTTGTCCACAAAGAAAACAGAAAGTGTAAAGTCCAAATTTTTATAACCCAGAAATCATTGTAGTGTTTTACAAAAGTGTTTTTGTATAAGGTTCACAAAAGGAAATTTTTGTACAATGCTCTTGTATGGAAATTTATTTGTTTTTTAAATTTTTGTTTACTGTAATAAATGTTTGTCATTTTTAATTCCACATAGTGATTGAGTCTTATTTATTTTGCACCTTATTCAACTTGAGGGGTCAGAGAGGCACACGTGTTCTCTTTTTCTCATTCTCTCCTGACTAACTAAATTTTTGTATTTTGCACAAAATAGATGAATTTGATCTTTGTAATTTAAATTTTTATACCAGACAAAATGGATTCCAATTTGTTTCACAAAAATTTTTCCTTATTTGCAATTTAGGTTTGCAGTCCTGGACTGACATGTAGCAAGAAAATTAAAATGTAAGAAATATGAGTGAAAATTTAATGCTTGACATTGCTTTCTCTCATTCAAGATAATATTATGATTAATATTAATGAACCTAGAATGGCTGTCTGAACTTTTGTGTTAGTCACAAAATAAGGTCATATAAAGAAAACAAGTGGATATAAGTTTTTTTTTTAAAAATTACATTAGATTTTGTGTTTGCTTTTTAGTATTAAAAAAAAAAACAAAAGTGAAATCTTCAATAAAATAATGTAAGATTGGAATGGATTTTTTATTTATATTTTTACCCATTTTATAAGTGCAAAACTTTATACCAGAATAAAGTTGACTTTTTTTTTTTTTTTTAACAGGAAACTCAAGAACAAAAAGCTGTTGTAAATTATTTTTTTATCTTCATCTGCTCAATTTCCAGTTTGTCTGCCAGTCTTATCTGAAGACAGAAAAAAGAACCTATATTAGATTTCTTTTGAAATTCCTTTTCATCAGCAAACACATTCCTAAAAATTCTAATTGGTAACTGAAATAAAATCCTTTCTTTTGCTAAGTTCTTATTTAAAGCCTTCTTTGGACTGCTTATGATGTTCTCATGTTTTGACTAATCCATTCTACCATTTTCTTTACCTTGCTAAAGCTGTAAGGAAAGAGATAGACTTCTTTTCAGTAATATTATTGGTAAACAAAAATGAGAAATCCTACACTTAAGTGGTGTAAAATAAATGGCATTTCCTTGAACGGCCTAAAATCAATAGGACCTATGTGCGATGGATAAATTGTCGTCTAAATGGTGCAAAAATAAAAATAACACTGACATTTCAACAGATATATTTACCAAAATGACACAAAAATATCTTGATATAATAAAGAGTAAATTTATTCAATAAAATCGCCATTGGCTTCAACCCCGGCCTCCAGATGACTTCAGATTCTCCTGCATCTCTTCTGGATGGTGAATGCTGCCATAATCCTTGCCTTCAGTTTGTCTTTGGTGTTACAAGGAGTTTTGTTGGTCTCTCATTCAATTGTACTCCACACATAATAATCAAGGGAGTTGCAGTCTGGGGAGTTAGGTGGCCTGATGTGGTCGCAGAAATTGTCTGGCAGCCATGACCGGGTTCTCCTGCTTGTGTGGCATGGTGCAGTCCTGTTGCCATATATAGGTTCTTCCAGCAGCCAACCTATTGACCCAAGGCAGCACTACCTCCTCAAGGCACTTGATGTAGGCCTCCATGTTGAGTCTGATGCTCTGTGATAAGATGAATGGAGGCATAATGTCACCATCACTAATGATCACTCCAAACACCTTTGTAATCACCCTTAGATTCATCCAACTCTTTCTGAATCCTCTGCACTTTCATCAGATTGATACCCACTCTAAAATGTCAGTATTGGAGCTTTCAGTGCGAATGCCAAGCAGTCCAACTGACCTTACTATACTGTGCATGCATAAAATAGTGACAATTTACGCATCGCACCCTGTACATTTTCTTACAGTTGAATGTCGCAATGGATAATGGTGGACTACGCAGCAAATAAATGCCGAAAACACAGGACTGTTCTTGTACCACTGACATCACACAAATTTGAAGTCCATTTTCTATACATCATGACAATGAATGCCGCAAGCAGTGAGCGTTTTACTAGCCTTCATTTGTTCATTTATGCTGGGTGTTGTTTTCTTCCATGTTGCGACTATACCAATGAACAACAGATAAGTTGCTTTAGTGGCAACCTGCTCAATCCCAGCAACAACCATCTGTTGCATCTTGATAGGCATTTAGCTGAAATGGCCAGTTGCACTGGTTGCAATGTAGACTGTTTTGAATGAGCTGTCATCATGCTAACCGACATGGCACAGTTTTAGATGATTGTCAAGCTCCAATATGTAACAATCTCCTTGTGATCATCATTCAGATTGACAATTGACTGTGGGGTCACTTGGTCTACCAGCTGACATGACTGAAATGAAATGAGGCAGGTTTATTTTATGGTGTTTTTAAGTGAAGCAGAACCTTAACAGATGATATTAAGGCCCTTACATGAAGGATTACCCAAAAATGATGACTAGTCCTGCCAACCATTTTAGAATTTAAACTTAGGATGTCAGTTCAAAAAATCATTGTTTTCTTATATCAACCCGATTCCTTCTTTAAAAAAACAAAAAAACAAAAAAAAACTCGTTTCGAATGAAAAATGGTAGAAAAGAATGGAAGAAGCAGATAAGGAAGAGGTGTTGGGGAGGGATAGTCAAACCAGAAGAATTGATCACAAGGAGAGGGGTGGGGAGAGAGAAAAATGACTTACTGCAAATTCAATTTGGTTTGGATGGTATGGAATACCACCCAATGAAGCACATTTTTCTTCATGTTTTCTCTCAGGGTCTCCAGGAATCATCACTGAGGGTTGACCTTGAACCTTTGATCAAAAGAAATAAAGATCTATTTAGTACACTATTTCCTCAACATTTTACTCTTGTCCAACTCATCTTTATTGCATTTCATTTCATTTAATGTCTCTTATAAACTTTTTCTTTAGGAAATACACCAAGGTTTTTTTGTTTTTTGTTTGATTGAAAATAGGAATTTTTGAATGGTATTAATTCTAACCAAGCACGTTTTGTTAATTTTATTCGGACTGAGAATAAAACCAGAAAATAGTTGTTTTTTTTTTTTAAATCAGAATCTATTACAGTGTAACCCGGATATAAGAGATTTTTCTCTGGCTCCAAATTAGAGCCTGTGTTAATGTATATAAAATAGACCAAACCCGGATATAAGAGACTTCTTCTCCGGTCCCGACATTTTTTTTATATCCGGGTTACACTATAACATAATCGTTACTGAAAAAAAAAATGCTATGAGTGTTAAATCATGAAATGCTTCAATCAAAATAAAGTGGTTTTACAATATCAACTTTTCAACATATTACATAGCGGCAAGAGATCAAACAAGGGAAGCAACTCAAACAGCTTAATGTAAGGGAAGTAACTGGGCTAAGACTACATTCGATTGGATGTAACAAGATATTTCATGCTGCGCAATGTTTTAACCTGTATGTTGGTCATCATTTTCACTGCAGGTCTTACTGCAGTAATGCACGCTACAAAGCCGAGGTGATGACTGACATCCGTCATGGTAGTAATTGTCATTGAATGTCTCCCCTTATTGAATTCCATAAGTATACTTCTGTTCAAAAGATCGGGGTCACTCCTCCCTAATACTTTTTGAGTAAGATTGGATTTCCTTTTCCTTCTAAAGTCTTCTCAATCTCATTTACTCCAAATAGTCCCTTGCGCCTTACTAGCATTATCGCCTTGCTTAGGGTGAACTGATTTTAAAAAAAAAGTATGACTCAAAAATGAATGCCAAAGTTTGTGCAGTTTTTATAGGATCATTACTTAACATTTGTACATTATAAAAGAAACTTCAATATTTGTTGAAAAATCTCCTGATCGTTGGATTCTATTAAACTTTAGACATTTTTTGGTTATTAAAACAATTTTCTTTTCTAGTTTTTTCTGGAGTGACCAAAGAGAATATGATAAATAATTTTAAAACGTGAAATAAAAAACTTTTATAAAGTAAGCTTTTTGAGAAAATATATATAATTTTTTTTTTTTTTTTTTTTTTTCTTAAATGACTCCAAAGTGTACAAGTTAATAAAAAAAGCAACTATAAATTTTTCAAAGAAAATTTTAAGTTTTATTCAAAATTTTCTAAATTTCTGAATAAAATTTTAATTTATTAATTTGTAGCCATTAGACGAGCAAATATTTGCAGCATCCAAATTATATTTTCTGGAGATTTCATTTTGGTGGCTTTGTGAATTGACTTTGACAATCATTTTCACAAAGTTTTAATGAATGTGTAACAAAAACTTTTATTGAAACCCAGTAATAAAAAAAAAAATAGTTTCCTATAGAGCCAGGATTATTGAGTAAACTTAATGTTTCTGATATTATTTTCTTAGGATGTGTGGTACCAGAGTTTGAGATTCAAATGTTATAGTGGCTACTTTGTATTTGAAATCAACGGCCCACTTTTATTTATTAAATAGTGTTTGTCTTATGTCTATTGAACTACACATTCGAGAAATCTTAATTATGAAAATTTTACTAAAATTTATCAATTATGTAGGCAGATAGATATAACACACTGTTTAACAAATAAAAAATGAGGTGTCTATTTCAATTACAAAGTATCCACTATGAGAATGTTTGAAGTAATAAAAAGGTTGTTTTTTACTTTTTTTGTTTTTTAAATATCTCGATGATACATATACAAAAGTTCCCAGCACTTTAGTTATTAAAAAAAAAAAATGAGTCAAGCTTATCTTCAAAATATATTTCCACAATAAGTGATTATATTTGAAAAATATAAATTTCTTGAAAAAAAAAAATCCAACTAAAATATATTTTGTTCATAAAATCAGCAATTTGAGAATGCAGAATTATTTTCTAAAAACAGCAACAATTTCTGTTTGAATTTTAGTCAGTGTTTATCTTTTTTTCTTTTGAATTAGTATCTTCATCTTTTGTTGTTTTATCTGAAGTGGTGTAGGTAATATGTAGGCTTTTAAACTTGTTCCCATCCTATGTTTTCATATTCAACATCTTTTCTAGGGAGCTGAAGCTACAACTTTTTTTCTTATTGTCAGTCTCTTCTCAAATGTAGAAAGCAGAAGAATATTTTGGCTAAAACAGCAGGAATAAAAAATTTTGAATTCTAACTGCAAAAATATTTAAAAAAAAAAAAAAAAAAAAAAATTATTTACACTATATGCAGATTATTGTCCCGTTATCTGCAAATCTTGTCTAGTTCTTATTTTTTAATACTGCTCAGTAAGTGACAGTAATTGTGAGTTCACTCCCTGGGCCAGGCAGTGTGTATATTTGGACTCATTGAAAGCAAGGGTGAGCAATAACTGAGCAGTACTAAAATTAAGAATTAGACCAGATATCCCTAGGCATTGGCAGTGGAACAAGAACAGTCTACCCTTCATAGATAGAGGGTCCAGTTTCGGAATTCTCTGTAGGTTGCCTGGATCAACGTACATGTGAGGGCACAGCAGTCAAAATGTGATGACAGCAACAACAAAGATGAAAATAATTGTCCACATGAAAATGGTGTAAATAACTCCTCATCCCAGAAATTAAAAAAAAAACAGTCTAAACAAAGATTTAATAATATGCAATCGTTTTTTTTTTTTTTTAAATATGGAATGGCCCAGGAAGGAGAATTCAATTGTCTTGTGAGACTTATGTGGACAAAAAAATCTTTATACAAAAGCTTCATTTTCATTGTTTCTTTTGGCAGTTGTCAAATAAATTCCACTATGTTTCTCATCTGAATTTATCTGTAAACAAAGGTTTTATATAATTGCATTATAGAGTTGGACAAACTTCTCTCTCAGGCACACAGATGTTGCCAGGTATTTGAGAATATATCAATTGCTCATCAATAGAAGAGAAATGTTATTTGACATGTACCAAATTTATATATATATATATATATATATATATATATATATATATATATATATAAAAGTGAAACAGTCTGTCACCTCTAAGTGTTGACTTCAATGTTCACTTTTATATTTACACACACTCTGATATTGAGTACTTTATCCCATAAATATAGCACACCTTAAGAGTATATTTCTTGTATATAAAGAAGAGGCAAGGAAAAAACTATTCTTAGCCAATGCAAGGTTTCATCAGCTGAGTGACTTTATCAAGACAATATAGGATTTTGTTGCACATGTTTATATACAAAAGCAAGGATGTCATTGGTTTATCAAGGCTTATAAATTTGAGAATGTTAATCACATGGTTGAAAGGTCAATCAAAATATGTGGAGGACACAGTGCCATAATTAAGTCTGGCAAAAAGTCAGCCATTAATAATGAATGTTCATGAACGTTCTCAAATTTAAAATCCTTCATAAACTCTGTGTGTGTATATATATATAAATACATCATCACATATCGTAATCAAATGTATTCCAACTATAAACAGAAGGAAAAAAATTCTAAAAACTCTAGCACTAATATATCTCCCACTGATCCAAGTATTAAAAAAAAAAAAAAAAAAAAAATGAATTATATACTATACTAAACTTAATACAACCAACCTAGTTGTCCAAAACAACTTTTCACTGCCAACTAACATCTTACATAAGGCCAACATTGTATATCAATTTAAATGTCCTTTAGGAGATTGTATCTCTGATAGAAATGTCAATACGTAAATTGGATTTACTATGACAATGCTAACAAAAAGACTTATATTACATTTGGATGAACAAAGCTCAATATATCAGCAATTAAAGGAACACTCATGCTCACATTCACATTAGTTGAAAATATAAAAAATCCTTGAAGCCCTTTTATATAAGAGAATTAAAGCCCAAAATAAAGTTAACTATGAGTATAGCAACAAAGTCCTTAAATGTTTATGAGAAAAACAAAAAAGTTACTTTCCTTTATACTGGAAACAACCAAAAAGTACATGTGAACTTTGCTTATGCAACATTGTAGATTTCAATTAAAAAAAAAAACAAAAAAAACAGTTGAAATGTTTTAAATTCACAGAAATACATATACATACTCACAGACAACTTAATCCCGTTAAGGTCTCAGCTGAGATTGAAAGTACTTGGGAAAATAAAAACTAAAAAATTTTGGTATTTTCCTTAATCAATTTTCTAAGGCTACCAAGAAATTAACCCATGAACTTGAAAATATCACAACCAAAATAAATCGACATAATGTTTAAATTATTTAACCAAACCTGTTTTAATGAAAATATACTATATATATATATATATATATATATATATAAAAGTAATTATAGAAGTCAACATAGAGGAGACAGTCTGTTTCATGCTATATGCAATCGTCAGGCCACGATTGCATATAGCATGAAACAGACTGTCGCCTTCTAATGTTGACTTCTATGTTCACTTCTATATTTACACACGCTCTATCTCTGATATTGAGCACTTTATTCCATAAATATAGCACGCCTTAAAATTATATTTCTTTATATATAATTTCTTTTTCAGACATAGGGAATATTAATGTGGCAGCTCCCAATTCGATCCACAAAAATGAGAAAGCGTGCAGTTGTTTGTGGCATGAGCAGCTGACTCCTCAGTAATTCTTAAGACAGCCAACTTCTTGAGGGTGGACAGGAGAAACAACAAATGACTCTCTGCAGGCCCCAAAGACAGACAAACACACACAGATGCACATCATGTGATGATTATCTTTGGAGTTCACATTAATGAGGATCATGTTGCCTGACTTTTTTCCCCCTCAGCGTCAATGCTCTTGGATAGATTTGATTTCTGTGATCAAGTCCTGGACAGAAGCAGTAGCCGTAAGTGTTCCAGTAAGACTTTTGTCCAGGACTTGGTCCCATATATATCTCAAAATCTAACTAAACATTAGAAATTAAAACAAAACAAAAAAAAAAAAAACTTTTCCCACTTCCTTCAGTTCTTTGCTGAGTTATTGATGATAATAACTCTTTTGATTAAGTTTAGTTGGTTGCAAGAGTGTCTTCCTAATATGGGATGTATGTTCTTTGGTATTATAATAAAAAGGATTTTATGGGATGCACCTTTTCTTTGAGTTAGTTCCAGTATTTGGTAAAGTGGACATATATCTCTTGTATAGAATGTTAGTCTTACTTTTACTGAGCTTATTTTGGGCTGATTAAATAATTCAGCAGTAGGATGTTGACATCTCTCCTTGTGTCAAGTTTAGTGGCATTTTGATGCCTTCAAGTAGCATGTTCACTGTCCATTGTGATTCAGGTGTCGTACATTTGTTTTCTATCCTATCAACTCAATACAAATTATAGTAGTCATCTTCTGTTCTTGTTTACGCGGTCTAGTTTTCTTTGTTCAGCTCATGTTTTTAAAATGTTCAACCTTTAGACACTTCTTTTACGTCTGTCCTTTTGCTGGGCAAACTCTGTCTACACAGCATTATCCAAATTTGCCACATTCATTTGATTTTATTTTGTTTTTGTTTTTTTACTTCACATATATTTCCCTGTGTCTGGCCTATTTTTGTGTTTTGTGAGTGGACTGTATTGCACTTACTGAAAGCATGTTGGCAACTTCTAGGGTACGGCTTGTAGCTATTTCATCATTTTTGCAAACATTTCTTTCTTTTTCCAGATTCCCATAAAGACATGGTTACGTATCATGCTGCCTTTTAAATGCTTGTACTTGCATCTTCCTGCTTATGTCTGTGAGAAATAACAAAGTTTCTCCTTCCTACTGTGCCATTGTTTTAAACCGATACCTAATATCTTTCTTGCCTTGAATATATTCCTGGAATTTTTATACTAGTAACTTTTTATAATTTCCTTTTTCTGTATCCATGAATGTTAGAGTATTGTATACATCTATTGCTTTTCTCTGGCCATGTGCAGGAATAAAGCAAATTTTATTTTGTCTGGACTCGTAATTTTTTCTAATGCCACTGAAATACAATTCAGATTTCTGTATCCAGCTTCTGTAGTTTTCTTCCTTGTGTGGGAGACTCAATAATATCCATTATTATGTGGCTTTTCATTTCTGATACCATTTCCAGGTGGGGTATTAATGTGGGGTCCCGTATGAAAGACGAGGGGATCCACTTGACAATTGTTTATTTCCAGTTCATGTATAAAAATGTATATACACTGTTTTGTGGCGAGCTTGCTTTTTTTTTTTTTTTTTTTTTTTTTTTTTTTATTTCGCACATCAGAATCTTGTTCAGGAATATTGTGTATCAATTACTAGTCCCTGTGAGTAAATGCAACATTAGTCTGGTGAAAAAACTGTTCAACACTCGCATCTCGTTCACATATATAAATCAATTTTTAACTCTGCATATTTTGCCAACAGTCTGGCCTCATCAGAAAACAATTTTATTTGAAAAATGGAAATCTACATTACTGAAATGAAACCTGATTTATTAAGTCTCTAAATGCTAAATTTTGTAAATCTGACAGTATCATTAATAAAATTTAAATTTTAACTAATAGCGTTTGATTTTCCTTTTATGGCTTAAATGTTGCACATAATTTCATTAGTAATTTAGTAAGAAATGGGAGATAGCTTGGTTACATTATTAATCTAAATCACTATCCTTATTTCTCACTAAATTACTAATGAAATAATGTGGGATATTTGAACCATAAAAGAAAAACCAAATGCTATAAGATGAAATTTATTTTCTACAACAATACACTTAAATTTAAGAATGAATCATTTAAACACTGAACATATTGTGCCAAACAATATTACTCATTTTTAGTCTCCTTAAATCTTTGAAATCTTTTTTTAACCTCCTTAAATGATTTGAGTAAACAAGGAAAGAATTTAGTAAATTAACTTTTGCTACCAATTTTGAATCTGGATAAAACTAAATTGAATTGTGTGTAAATTGAAATCAATGAACAGGCTTAAGAACAGCAAATGGTTGTGGTGCACTTGTTATTATTGGTGTATCAGTCATACTTACCGGGGTCATGTTACGTAAAGTGGTCATGATGTCTGACATCCTATCTGTGAAGCCAGGAGCAAATGCAGATGGATCCAAAGCAACAAAACACTGACCCTGCAAAAAAAAAAGGAATAATTGTCAAATAACATTATTCCACAAATTATTCAATCTGGGATGCTGATCATTGTTGTTTTTATCACATTGTTTCAAAAACCATCATCATCATTATCCTGAACACTTTGCAAAAGACTTTATTTTTTTCTAAATGGTTGAATTAGCAAACTGCTACAAATGGTACAAGGACATTTCTTCTCGATGACTTCTTATTTTATGACAACTTTTACTTGGTCTTATTATTGTTGCTTCTTAAATGAAGCATTTTTTAATTTATGCTATCGTTCACTTAACACGAGGCCCAAAAGCCACTCAAGGTAGAGGTTTACTGAATGAAGTTGTTTTATGAATGTAAGAATTGTAGGATAGATGACAGTTGACCCTGGACTTGGAAGTTAAGATTGTAGTAGTCAAGGAAGCATCCTCTTGGGAATTAATTCCATATAGCACCAACTCTTGTGAAGAAGATGACTGCAAACTTCTTTCTTACAAATGGAATACAAAGGGATTGAAAATGGGTTTTGCTCCTGTGTACATGGCATAGTGGGTCTTAGTAGAAAAAGTCTGAACTGGTAGAACTAAGGAATGTAGTTTATCTGTGAAGGTTTGAGCCGGTGGAACTTAGGAATGTAGATCATCAGGACATTTGCCATGGAAAGAGGCTTGTAATGTTTTGTCTGGGAAAGGAATTGTAAGGTGGAAAATAATTCATCACACTCAAGGCCATATAAACGTTTTTAAACTCTGTCAAGGCTGGAAATGGAAAATTGAACAGCTCCAGCCCAGATATGGCAACATTCCTCCACTGGGTGTTATGGGGTTATGTACATTCTTGATTGGTATAAGGATAGATCCATTCACACTCTGAACGGTTGCATGGATTTGGCAACTTTTTCAATAAAAGAATTGCTGAAAAAAGAAATTTTTGAATGAACCTCGACCTGAGGGCGGGGAGAGTTGGTCAGTTATGTGCCATGCATGGTACATGCGTAGGCGATCATGTATCTTTTGATACATGACTGACAAGGCAGATTTTTTTTCCCCCACATTAGGTTGCCATTTCTTTCTGCGGTAGACCAGTTAACATCCAAGGCTATAGAACTTGGTCTGTCCTGCTATTTACCCATAACTGGGGGGAAAAGCAGATTCATACCTTTCCCAAGGTTATTAGTATGTAAATGAATGCAATGAATTCGACTGGAAGTCGAACTTGGCTCTCTGATTCCTCAATCCGAGCCACTATCCATGACACCACCATTTCCTTTTGCCAAAATGTAAAATGACTTCATGAATTTTCTCAAATACTTTTGCTTTCAGAATTTTGCATTTGGTACCCAATGATGATCAAACTCTCTCTCTCTAATAGTAATGGTCAACCAGACTAGCCTCATTAACCATTACCCCATGCTAAGGTGCCTGCTTTCATAAAGAAAGTACCATAACCAACAACTTTGACTTTCCAAGCGACCCACCTGTTGAGTAGATTTTTTGATCTTAATACGCCCAGTGCCAAAGAATATTAATGTTTTCCTGACTTCATATGTTATAGGTGTGTCTTCTCAGCAGATTTAATCAACCTCTACAGTGCTTACAGGCATATCAAGGTGAAACACCAGGTTCTTGTGTAATCACTAAAGTTAAGTATTGTCAGTACCTAGATAAGGATTGTATGGGTATACCAGGGGCTGTAAACTTAGATACGTGAGTCGTGTAAGGGACAATGACTCGGAATAAGAAATCTGTGAGCCGAGTTTAAATTCCAGTCATGTTCATCATATTTACTTAAGCGCAAATACCCTTGGAAAAGTTATGAATTTGCCTCTTTTCCTCCAAATTATGGGTTAAATAGTAGGGCTTGTATTGGGAAATCTTTATCTTCAAAGAATTGTTAATACAATATTCACTAACAAAAAAATTATTAAAATCCAAAAATGTTTCAGCTTTAAAATAACTTACAAAAGGTTGATAAGCCATAAAAAAGAAAAACAAATCACTCAGGCTCTAAAGCAAGGCCATCCTAAGGGAGTTGTAGACCCTACCACAATTTATTGGTGGATGCAATCTTAGCAATATAACTTACACAGATGAAACAGTGTTGATGGCAAACACAGAAGAAAAACAAGAATATCTAGACAAGGTAGAAAAGGAAAGCGAGAAGAAAGGACTATCAATTGTCAAAAGAGAGAATGGATGGTTGTTGGCAAGAGAAGTCCAAGATGCAAACCGCAAATCAGAGATGTCAAAATCAAGCTGAGGTTTAAAGATGTGTGAAGTTTTTTAAAATGTGATACCAAAATCTAAAGGCACATAGCAAAAGGTGTCTTCCAGAAACTAAATACAATATGAAGAATCCGGAAAATTTCATTAAAAACAAAAGTGCCAAACTGCTATGTAATATCAATTAATCCACCAGTCTCATCACCTGAAAAATTGAGACAACAGAAATATGGTTCTAGAGAAAGATGCTGAGAATAACACAGACTGAGCATGTAAACAATGAGGAAGCCTTAAAGAAAATGGCATTAAAAAAGAGCCAGAACAGTCAGCAATTGACCAGAGTGCCTTAAAGGCAAGCCATCACTATTGGAATACCCTGCACATAAGGCAGGATATTCCAACAGAGATGGCTTTCCTTTTTCTGAGTTTTGACTATGTCCAAAATGGCACAACAAGGTGAAATAAGTCTATGGCAGGAAAAGAAAAGGTAAATCTTGTTTTGCAACGTCTTCTCTCATGGCAAACAAATCAATCAGTTCTTTGCTTCAGCCAGCAAGGATCCTGACTGCAACTGTCTCTCCATAGTGATGGATGACTCCTCACACTCTACAGTGGCTCAAAATTTATCTACTCACTCTGCCTTATATAAGCCTCTGACTGGAATTCCTTACTTTCTGGCCAAATGACACTTGATCCCAAGAGTTTTCATTTATTTATTTGCTTCATTTTCTCTCTCACAAATTTTTGATAGCAGGTATTTGCTTTGAAGATCTCACTTTTAGATTTTACTGCTGGTCATAAAACAAAGGGTGTATCCTAAGCAATTCAAGCAAGGATCCATGTGTCACGTGCCATATATGGCTATGACTAACACCTGCATTTCATCAATGCTATTTAATCTCGGGAAAATCTCCATTTTCAATTCTTAGCAAATACATGCATCATTAAAAAAATTTGGTAATGAAGGTGTTAAGGATGTCCACTTAGATGCTAATCAACTTGCAGTGGGGCAGGTATTGATTGGTTCATTCTGAGATCAGTATAGTAGTTAAATTCCAGGTGATTTCAATTTGAAATTTTTTTATTTTCTATCACACTTATCACTTGTGGAAATCCTTCTTGACTTCTTTTACAGTTGTTACTTCTGCTTTTGTTTGTTGGTGTCTCAAACTTACAAAGAATTGTATTATAAGCCATACGTCTTGTAACAAAGCATTGGTGTAAGTGTGGGATTGACCATTGTTAAATTTTGCCACTTTGAAAAACCACCAATCCAAAATGTGAAAAATAAAATTTAAATTCTTCCTAAAATATAAAGTCAAACTAAAACACTGGATTTCAGCCTCAAAGACAATAATCAAAAGAATTATTTAAAAGAAGCTCATTAACTTCAATCAGAAAAAGTGCACGTACCAAATTTGCTGCCGTTGATGTACTTTTCCAAGAACGAATGTTGGGTCCATAATTTGCTCCTGCTAAAATTCCACAGAAAACTTCAACCATCAGTGCCAGACCATATCCCTTATAGCCACCTAAAGAAATAGGAAAATGAAAAATGTATACATTGTTTCAACAATGTGATAAAAATAAAGGATCAGCATTAATATATGAATATATGAAGTAATAGTCGTTAGTTAAGTACAGATGATTTGTTGAAAAATAAAAATACTTCATATTTATATGCTTATAGTAATTGATAGTGAATTTGATTGAAAAATCTGAGAGCTAAGTTTGAATTCCAGTGAGGTTCATTACATTCACTTATATGCTGATACCCATGGGAAACGTATGGATCCATCTCTTCTCCCCCCAGATATGGGTAAAATAGCAGTACAGATTAGGTCCTATAGCTTTAGGTGGTGAATGGTCTAGGACAAAGAAACTCTGAATTCAAACCACTTGCTGCCTTTTAGGTCCTGCCTCTTTAGGCAAAGACTCAAAGAAGGTAACTTCAAAAAAAAAAAAAACATCCACCTGTGAAAGGAGGGGCAGGGTAGCCTCAACATCCTTGGTGCAAAAGAAACCAACAAAGCATTACACTATTCTGCTTTGAATGTCATTATGAACCACAAATTTGAGATAGTGGGGAGTCATGACCACAACGGTAGTGCTAACTAAATAAAATGAATGAATAATGTGTATAGTAATATTTCAAAGGTGTGTAGAAAAGCTAAAAAGAGTCGATTTTGGAAATTGCTTTTTCTTCTTTGTCTGTAACAGTCCAGCCTTGGAGAGTTGTTGCATTTGGCATAAAGTGAATAAGGTTCATTTACATTCTATGAATGAAAAGTCCTCGTATTTGAGCCTCAACGTAGAATTTGGTGAATATGCACTAAATTTTGAAAGCATAATAATACCGTTTTCTTCAGTGCCTCCAAGAGGAAGAAGACCTCCATCAGAGAGGACAGCATCAGGATTTTTTGTCACCTGTAAATTGCAAAATATTTGTGTGAAATAAAGGGAGAAGAAAAAAAGAAGCAAACTTTGTCTAGCATCATCAAAAGGTTATCAGAATTTCTTCTAAGAAAATATTAAACAATTGTAGTGTGAGCCCCCAAAACTGGATATATTACAAAAAGGTCAATATTAATACAACAAATACAAAAACCATTTAACACAAGACTGCCCAAGGAAAAGTTAGGGGCAAAAATAAAAGGAGCAACAAATATCCAATAATTATTTACATTCAGACTATTGTCCTCATCTTTGTTATTGTTATCCAAATAGTCTGAATGTAAATAGTGTAAATAACTCCTCATCCAATAAATTCTGAAAAATTCTTAACTACAGCCACTCTATGATCAAGTGCTGTTCTAATGAGTTGGTCACTAAGTGAGGAGTTGTATCCGCTTATTTCAGCTGTAAATACACGTGTATGGGGGTTTGTCTCAATGAGTTTCAGATAGCTTTAATGTCAGTTTTGCCCGATTTTGTAACATTTCTAATTTATTTCTAAACTAGCAGCCATACCCAGCTAGTCAATCAGAAAAAGCGTTCAATTAGAATGGAGCAAAAACAGCATCATGTTTAGATGTAACAGTCTTTCATTAAAAACATTTTGAATTAATGCAGTTGCTGATATAACAGAAGTAGTCTGTATTTATTCAATCGATCTTAGCCAAGGACATGAACGGGTAAAACAGGCAACATGAAGACCCACTTCAGGTCACAATTATATTGGATTTTTGAAATTCAATTTGTCAGTGTGCTACCAGAGATGTGAAAGAGGATACATTTATAAAGCAATTAAGTTTGATGAAAACTGGTTGCAAGATTAATGAAAAATAAGAAACCAGTAAAAATCACTATTTTTTTTTTACTCTTTATGCAGGTTTTCAATATATGGGTGGACTCAATTATCAAATTAAAAGACTGTTAAACAATCAACTTATTGTTGGCTACAATTGAGTGAAGTTTGTATTAGATTACTTGAAAATTGAGTGAGTTTTTAGTTTAAAATCTGTGTTGAAATCGACTTTGTTTTTCACAGTTTTCACTAATTGAAGTTGCGTAGAAATAAAAATATCGTTGAACTCATCATGATGTAAGTAACCTACATAGTGAGTTTGAACAAAACCCAAGTTAAAAAGTAGAATTTATCGATTTTTTTATTTATTTGTGATGAGCTTTATCAGTTATTGATTTCTTTTTTTTTTTTAAATTATTAATTTTTTTACACTAAGAACCTATCTCTTACATTGTACAATGTAAGTGCCAAGTTTGGTCAAAATCAGTTGGTATCACACACACACACACACACACATCCTCTGTGTTATATAATGTTTATGCACTACAAGGAAATTTTTCTTTATTTTTCACTTTATTTATTTTCAATCAAGATCAAAGTTTTTGTACAATAGAGACTAATAGTTTTTTGTTATTTTTTTATAGCTAGCCATAAGTCCTTGGGGATTGTTAAATAGGTAAGTTAAGTGAGGAGTTGCTATATGTAAGGAAGTGTTAAAGAGGTCAATTGCAATTGACTGAACATTTTAATTCCTAACCAATGTTTAATATTCTTTACTCATTTATTAACAGCCAAATCAGGACATTGGAAGAGTTACCATTCCCAAGACAAAATAATTGTGACATGACATTTAGGAATTGTGTGGGATCTGTCATTCTTGAGAAACCTTGGATCTGCACCCAAAGCATTTTACTTCAGCTGCTGATGGCTGTGCAGGCCCATGTTGGATTGACAGTCTCAATGAATGCATGTGAAAACACTCTCCCCTCATGTCACCTTGTTTTCTTTCTGTTGTGCACACTACTGCAAGGCAGCAAGCCTTCATTTCTCCTCTCCCCACACCAGCCCTTGGTGTTAATAGTGTCTCCAGCATGAGCAATCATTGGTGACATCTTCCCACTTCTCTGTCCATGTCCAGAAGCAAAAATGAGGTCACCCTCTTGCTGGTGGTCAGTTACCTGTACAGAAGGACCTGGGAATTTATTATATCACAAAGTAAAGGGTTGAGATGCAAGAACACCTCTTGTCAGTATATACTGATCTCACCACAATAACAATGTGACACAAGGATGGTTTAATGTGGGGGGTGCCCATGTGTATACATGAGCTAAGGACACTGTCACACTGGCATCAACCTCCTCAGGGTAAAGAGTACTTTTAGTCAAGTATTCCCATTTTCACTGTTGGAAGTTGATCATTCAGCCAAAAGTTTGCTTCAGTCTTTATGTGCTGTGTCACTTCAGGACATAGGCGATCATTGCCCTCCACATCTTCTTATCCCTTGTAGCACTTAATAAGTTTTGTCTTTTTGTTATTTCTCCCAAACCCTGTTCTACCGGCCATTTACTGAAGCTCATCAAGTATGTTACGCACTGCTTTCCTCTTTCCCTCAATCTGTCCTGTGAGTATCATATTTTCCAAGCCTTCCTTGTGTCCCAGAAATTTCAACTGCCTCTTCCTTATGTTAAGTATAGGTTTCAATTTTGCTTTCCTTTCCTTCAAAACCTTGTTGCTCACATGTTCAGTCCATGGTATCCTCAGCATCTTTTTGTAGAACCACATTTTTGTTATTTCAAGTCTTTTTGTTTTTGAGGAGATTGTCCAGCATTAATTACCATACAGGAGGATAGATATCTTTAAATTTTGGTTTGCATTATGAGAAATCAGACAAGTGCTACAGAACACTATTATTATTAAAAATCAAAGAAGTCTCCACTGCTGAAGCCAAAACATTTTAAGGATCATCTGATATTTGCTAATAAGTATTTTGAAAATGATGTCTTTCAAGAGATAAAACCCTAAGAAACTAGAATCTGTCGTTGCTTGTAAAGATGAGTAAAAGAATTTTAGGAATGTAATGGAAGATTTGTTGCTCTTTGTCTTTCAAATTTTTTTATCCTAATTTTCATTGATCAATTTGTTAAATTTTATTTATTTTTGTATTTGTTGCATTAATTTTGACCCTTATTCTGAATTTCATCAATTTTGAAGCTGTCTATAAATATGTCAGATAACATAAGAGCTATCAGTAGAGAAAGTGAAATTTGTGTGCTGAGTTCAAATTGTGATTGAGTTTGTTTAGTTCACTTTGCAAGAATGGCCTTGGAAAAGGTATGAATTTATCTTCCATAATTTCTGTAGATTAGCTTTCATTTGGCCTTCCTCAAACCATGATATTTTTCAGAACTGAAAAATATTAATTTTCTTTTTTATTGATTTATGAGAAGATCCTGTTCATAATATCCACAAAGTGTAAAATTAATCCCCGACATCTCCATTGTTATCTAGAATTAACTGTTGGTGATCATGGCTCTCCACAATTTCCTGTCCTTTGCAGATCCTAATAAATTTTGTCCTTTTCTTATTTCTCCTCAACCTTGTTTTGGCATCTATTTACCCAAGCTCACTCTCCCTCTTGCTTACAATCTGTCCTGTGAGTATCAGATTTTCCAAGTCTTCCTTCCTCATTATGTGCACCAGATTTTTCAACTGTCTCTTCCTGATTTAAAGTATAAGTGTCTTTTTTGTTTCAGTTTCCTCCAAAACCTCATTGTTGCTCACATGTTTGGTCCATGGTATCCCCAGCATCCTTCTGTAGAACTATATTTCTATTGCTTTAAGTCTTTTCATTTTCGAGGAGAATGTCCAGCATTCGCCAACACATTTTCTGTCACTTTTCTTTGTTTCTCAATACTCTTAGCTTTTGGAATGCATCTTTGTCTATCCTAACATGCCTTCAGATTTCAATGTCACACACTCCATCCTCTGTCAAATTTGCTTGATTTTGATATCTCTGATTTGCATCTGAAGTTAATCCTTTTGCTAATAACTAAGCATTCTCTCTCCTTGCAGTTGATCTTTAGTCCTTTCTTCTTGCTTCTCCTCACTACCTTCTGTAAGAGCTTTCTGTGTCTGCTATCAACACTGTGTCATCTGTATATCTTATGTTGTTAAGATTGTGGCCATCAATTATAAATCCTGGTAGGATTTCCAATTCTCTCAGAATCGCCTCACTGTATCAGTTAAATAAGTCTGGTGAGAAGACACATCCTTGTCTTACACCCCTTTCTATTTTTGTATATCTGCTGGGTTCATTTTCTATCCATACTCAGGCAGTTTGCTGCCAGCATAGATTCTTGATTATTCTAATGTCCTCTCCAAATATGTCCAAATTGCCATGCAGTTCCAACAGATCTTTGTGGTGTACTTTGTTAAACGCTTTTGTGTAATCTATAAAACACAGGTACACCTCCTTTTGCATTTGTATTGCTCTTTTTGATAACATTCTCAGCAGAAATGTCATGTTCCTTGTTTCTGTGTTGAATGATGATAATTATTCATTTAAAATGAAGAATAAACTGATATATACTTGTATTAATTTCTGTAAATTTTTTAATTAAAAAAGTGTCTCTGTTTAAAAGAAATCTTTTTGTTAAAAAAAAAAAGAAACCATTTGTTTTGTACACAGAATAACTAAGTCCAGAAAATTCTGGAAAAAGTTGGGGATTGATTTTACTCTGTGCTAATATTATGAACAGTACCTCACTTCTAAAATAATAAATCAAATTTTTAGATTCTAACAAATGTTGTGGATGCCTTGAAAAATGTTTAATGAATTCTAATCTACAAAAATTACTTAAAAAAATTTTTTCCAGAAGTTGATTAATGCAAAAGTTTAATTTTCTTGAGAGCTTTCAAGTAATAAAAATGATGTTATTCTACTTTCACAATTGAGTACATGGTAGATGCTACTCAGCTTTTGTGCATAGACATGTTTGTGCAGACATAATTGCTTGAGGCGATGATATGTATGTTTTATGTTGTAGTTGAAGTTATATTTTGGAATACAGTTTGATTTCTTTCAGAAAATGTAGGATATATGGATCAATATCATAAAAGTTCTTCCATGTTGGTTGTTTGGTAGGATTTTAAATGGATTTAGGTGAAGTTACTACAGTTTGTTTGTATCTGTGTATTGGTAATTTATATAAAATATGTATTACTGGCATTTTTTTACTATAAAATGTATTTTCATACTTTCATAGTGTTTTGTTTGGGGTTTCACTATTTGCCCATAGCTGGGACCCTAACAGGTGCTACCCCCACCAGGTCAGGGTGGACCTGGGAACAACAGCAATTAAGCATTCCTCCAATCTCCCAATCAGAGACCTTGCTGCTAAATGTAGTTTGTCATACCCAGAGCTAACCTTACAAGTTGTGCTGATAATGATTTACATTGTAAAGAAATTGGCAATGAGTTTCTTTATATAATTTTTTTTTCAGATTGGTCCTTTATCACGGTATGTAATTGTTAGATTGAAAGTTTTAAAATATTTGTTTAATTCCCTGAAATTGAAATAATGCACAAAGTAATTATTGCTTTGTGATTTACTTACTTGGCCTTCACCATCGACTCCCCAGCCTTCGGGAATTTCCATATCTTTTCGTTTATTTATTTCAATCTGAAAGTAAAAGTGCTTATTCAAATGCTGATATTTTAATCAACAGATCTGAAACATTGGATTAACCAAAAAGGAATGGGGGGTCGTTCATTTTAATCACAATCAAACGAGCCTGATTTTGGTTCTACTGTGACAATTGATTTTCTATCCTCAAGACTCTTATACACTGTTTAAATTGTTTATTTAAATAATGCTCCATTTTGTAAGGTCTGTCAATGGAGAAACAATTACAATTTTGTTTATTCAGCGTTTTGTGCCACAATAGTCACCACTTCCTTCCATCTCACAATTGTTGTTTATGGTGATGTTCATGACAGAATCGTGCAATGACTTGCCATTTCCTTTTGCACCAGGAATGTTGTTGTTACTCTGTCCTTCCTCTCATGGGTAGATTTCTTTTTAAAGTTAGTTACTTCTAGCCTTTGTGAGAACCTACAAGATAGCAGGTGGTTTTGAATTCAGTTTTTTATTCTCTTAGACTAGTTGCCACCCAAGGCTATAGGACCCAGTCTGTACTATTTTACCCATAGCTGGGGAGGAGAAGAGATAGATTCATATCTTTCCCAAGGTTATTAGCACATTGAATGTAATGAATTTGACTGGAATTCAAACTTGAGTCACAGATTCTTCAATTTGAGTGATAATCCATTGCTCCTCCATACCACCATATTAAATACAAGATGGATAACCTTTAGATTACCATTTATCTTGATCTTGATAAAATTCTCTTAATCAAAAAAAAAATTCCATTACTAGAAAGACTGTAAATGTTGAGCAGTTCTTTTTTTAAAAAGTTCCAGGAAAATGGAATTATGAAGTTGCAAGTGAATTCTTGGTGTCTTAAACCAACCAAATAAAAGTTTGCTTACAGATGCATGGGTTCGCTAACATCAAAATTTTAAATAACTTTAAATAAACAACTTTAAAATTTTAAATAAAACTCTGAATACCAAGGGCAATTATCTGCTTTTGGTTAAGACAAAGTTACAAGGGACGTCAGTTCATATTTATTTTATATTGGCTTCGAAAAAGACAGCAGTAGGGTGAACAGAGGAACATACATGGCCTCAGCAGAAATAAAGGACACCACTGACCTACCTTTTGGGTTAATATTACAAGTAAGACCCTCTTTCTTTTTGCCCCTTTCATACTACTTGTTGTATTCATGTTATCATTTCTCTGTGTGGAACAAATTAGTGATATATATATATATATATATATATATATATATATATATATATATATATATTGGCATAAAACATCCCAGAGAATCATACCTTTCTTTCAGTTATTCTGTTCCATGTTTCATATCTGCATGTCACCAACTGGTTAGAATGTTTTCTTTCCAACCATGAGTTTGAATCTCACCATGATCAATGGTTCTTGATGATATCAGTCTGGAGAGGTGATCCCACCATGCGGCACCTTTTGAAAAGTGCCTGAAAACCATACCACAGCCTTGTGAGTGAAATTTGGTAGATTGAAGTATTTGGGAGCCATCGATGATTGTGCTAGCACAAAGTCACAAGTCATAATGTGCGCTCTCCCCCCAAAAACTGTAACAAAGGTCTGCTCAACATAGTTGTAGGATGAATTACAGGTGGGCTCTGTGGGTGTTGAACAAACACAAATATGCCTGAGCCGGTGTCTGCAACCGGGATTGGCTAGCTGCCCTACCAGACGTGTACTCAGATATGAGCAGCCAATCATTATAACAGGAATATAATAATGCCTATAATGGGAAACTAAGAATATTCTTTGTTGCATCACACCTCCCATTAAAATAATTGGAATCTTAATTTTAATGATGGATTAAAATGAATGGAGAGATTAAAGGATTATGATAGATTAGAGATCAAAAGAGAGAATTCAAGCAAAATAAACTGATTTCTGAAATTCAAAATCTCACCTGCAGAGATGAGAGTGGATTTTACATGGAATTCATGTAATGTAGTATGTGTCTCTCTTAAATTTATACTTGGTGTGTATCATCAGAGAAACCAGATGCATCAATGGGTTTGTTTGATAGATGACCTTTTGCATCTCACACGTTCAGTGAATGCCCTGACATGTGATAAGCAGGAGTGAAAAGAACTGTATGATATATAGAATTTATTCAAAAATTATAACATAAACAGGTTATAACATCACTACAAAAATAGCCATTTTGTTTCAATACTTCGGGTGTCTTCTCAAGTGATGGTGTTTGGTTCAACAGAAGTATTGAAACAAAATGGCTATTTTTGTAGTGATGTTATAACCTGTTTATGTTATAATTTTTGAATAAATAATATTTTTTTTCTACTCTGTATTGAGCACTCTTAAGAATAGTATTTTTGGTTATTGGAATTTATTCTGTCTACACCAATCCTATATTTGGATATATATCAATTCACCCCAAGCAAGGTGATAATGCCACTAAGACATAAGAGGCTACTGGGAGTGAAAGTGAAAGAAAAACTTTAGAAAGAACCAGAAACCCAATCCTAAACAGGTTACAAGGGATAAACTTCTACTCTTGTTCAAAAGACGTGGGAGGAGTGTAAATCGGGCGATAGATGAACCTATCTACTCCTATAGAGGAGGGGAAAAAATAATTAGTAAATAAAATTTCAGACAGACAGACACATTAAGAAGCACAGAGTGGAAATAGACTTTATAAGGAACTGGAAACCCAATCCTAAACAGGAAACAAGGGATAAACCTCTACTCCTGTTCAAAAGAATGGGGAGATGTGTGATATATAATAATATATATAGATATATAAATACCCACTGCAAGGAGGAAGGAGAGACTCTTACATTGAGACAAGATGTAGAATCTATCTTGCACCTTTTTATAAGTCTACCATTCATTCATGCATTGAATATCATTGCCACATTTGGTTTGGTGCTTCTGCTATGTATTTAGAGATTCTTGACAAAATCCAAAGAATCTGTAATGTTCTCGGTCATAACCTAGCATCTCAGCTTCAATCACTCTTCACTGCCAATAATGTAAACTTCCCTGTGTCTTTTCATCGCAATTGTTCTGATGAACTTTTCTAATTAGTACCTACATTTCATAAATTTAAGTACAGTACTGGATTGGCAGCTAGGTCTCATCATTTTACTCTTGAAATTCCTAAGTAACCATAATTTTTATTCTAATAGCTTTCACCTCTTGCTTGTGGAACTCTTCCAGCTTTTTGCTTTATCTTCAAAAATTTAAATGCAATGTCAATTGTCATTTTCTGTCTCCTTGAATCCTGTCCTTTTATTGTCCTTTCTCCTTAATAATGTTTTCTCTGCTTCTTTTGCCTTATTGTTTTTCATCTTCAATAACCCAATTGTATCTTAGTGGCTTTATTGCCTTGCTTGGAGGTGAAATGATTAAAAAATAAATAAATGTATAAAAGATTAATTTTTGTGCTTTCTTTAATCAGAGCAAAGTCACACTAAGTTATGCATTTTGCTTTTTGTTCTTAAAAAAAAAAGAAAAAATTTTAGGGGTGTCATGCTTACCTTTCCAAGAGCCACTGTTGTGGTGGCCATATCAAGAACAAAGCTATCATTGTTTGCTGGGGCGGCAACACTGATAGGGTTGGTGCCCAAAGCAGGCTGAAAGAGAAAAAAGATCTTAAGTCAGTCACCACAGGTAGATATGTTAAAGTGAGCCAACACGATTCTAGAATTGAGAATATTCGTCATTTACCTCATCAGGTCTGGATTAACCATTAAGCAAAATAAGCAACATTCTTACGGCATCAAGAGAAGTGATTACTGCAGAAATTATATGTTGTTTTTTTTTTTAAAGCATTATGCCCCGAGCAAGGCGTGAAGCCACTAGGGTGCAGGGGGTTGCAGAAGATTTGGAGCAAGAGCAGATAGGAGTGATAGAAGAAAGGATGAGGAGAAGGATAGTGGATAGATCAAGGTAACTGAATATGTCGATTGACATTACATTTGATTAGTTCGCGATTATAGCTCTCAGGGAAACAGTAATTGGGAAGGGTATTCCACAGGCGAGATGTGCGAGGTATGAAGCTATTGGAGTAGAAGAAGCGGCTACATTTTAAAATTTCTACAGTGTAAGGGTGGGAGCGTTGTTGTACACTTCTAAAATAATAGGTCGAACATGATTAACATTTGAATCTCCCCGAGACCATTACAAACGGGGGAAATGACTGACCCACATTGCATTTTTATTGCAATTCTGATTGGTTAATAAGGGAATGGGCTAAGGGAGATAATGTGGTTTGTATTTACTCAATACATCACACCTTCCCTTTTGAATAAGTTAGTATTGCTAATTAACTTTATAGGATTTAATTTTTGTGAACAATCCCAGCGGTCAACTGCCCTTATGTTCATTTGGCTTTATTCTGGACAGAAGCTTATGTCATTCAGTAACGTGCTGATTTTTTGATTACACGACTACTTCTGGTCACACTTCTGTTAGAATCTGGTTGTAACTTATTTGACAGGGGGCTGTTCAGCTGCAATTGGTTTTTCAGGCTGGGTTCCCAGGGCATTGGTGTTGTTTTAGGTTGGAATTGATGATCAGCCTCTCTTGATGGTCATATGTACCTTCGATTCCTTCTATATCAATTTCCAGCTGGTATATCCACAAATGTACATTCTCAGTTGATTTCCTTTTTCTTTGAACTACTCACTGAGACTCCATATTAGTGTACTTAATGTGCAGGTGTATGGGGACACCAAAATCCTTTAAGTGCTTAGGGCCCCTATAGATCTTAATCAAGCCTAGTACCTCACTGACCACAGTCAAGATCAGAGAATCCTTGTGAACTACATAATGCTTTCTAGGGCTGTATAGTGTGTGGGTCACCTCCACATAGCCTCATCAGTTTTGTCAAGAAGTTGTTAGCAGGCACTGTCAAGCAGCTATAAAAACGGGACACTTCCTGTCTTCCTCTCTTATCTTTTTTCCTCCCCACATGCTTTAGTGATAAAGCCAACTGGAACTTCCGTATGCATAAGGACATCTTTACCCTTAGTAAGTGAACCTTTTCATATATATATATATATATATATATATATATATATATATATATACACACACACGTGTATCACCCACACAATTCCTAACTTGTCTACTTTCTTTTGTATGCATGCTAGTATATTTTCTCTAATTTTACTCCTTTATATAAAAACCAAAATATAAAACCTTGCCTTGTTGAAATTGTCTTCTATCTCCAAACACCTGTCATGTACATGTGTAAAATATTGTTGTCACTGGTTTTAGTCTAATTAGGAGCAGCAACATTTGGCGACCATAACGTGATTTCAACATGCACCTGTTGCAGTAAGTGTGTGCTTTGTCAGGACTGCATACAGTTTTGAAGTGAAAGTTGTCCTACTAGACTGGTTACCAATCATGGCTAGAGTACTCAGTTTTGAGGGTAAGGAGAGATGGGTTTATACCTTACCCAATGGTATTTGTGCCAAAGTGAATGGTGATTTCCAGTCAGAAAAAAATGTTTTATTTTTTAAGATTTTTTTAATAAAGAGTATTATGTGGTGTTGACACATTTGTCAGTATGACTGATTTTAGAGACTTAAAAATAATTATTCCAATCAGTTTAAATTTGGTTTGAAATACAGCAAATTATTTTTCTTATTGGACATATTAAATTTAATCTATTAGCTTGAAATTAAAGATTTTTTTTTCATTTTAAAACTTATGTATCCCACCACACACATTTTTTTTTTTTTTTTTTTTTTTTTTTTTTTTTTTTTTTTGAGGCATCTATATCCTTCATAACTCCAAAAACTGTAAATATTTAAAAATTGCTCACTGACATTATAAACTCAGTCATCAAAATTTGTTCACGAAGTTCTTATGAAGATTTAAAATGAATGTTTTCTAAAATTATGTTGAGAATTAGTGAGTTTCAAATTTGCTTTTTCCAAAAGAAAAGTGAAAATGATGTTTTCACAAAAGAAAAGTGAAAATGATGTTTCTTCCACATTTAACATGTTTTTTTTTTTGTTTGTCTTTTTTTTCTAATCCATTGTGAGATTATAGCTTCTAGCTTTCTTTACCCTTTCCCTCCCACATTACAATGTTTAAATAAATTGCTAATGAATAATGTATGAAATCTATTCAGGTCAGACTCGAGTGATAGACAAAGATAACATGTAAGAAATAGGAAAAAAACTGTCAGCACTGACTGACTTTAAAAGATATACATTGAAACAATATTTAAAAAATACAGACAGGAAAATCAGATTTATTCACTGACACAAGAAATATAGCCATTAGATAGGAAGACATGATAAAAAGGTGAAGTTTTATGATGAGTCATTCAGTAACTCCTGGCTATTTCACAGACATTTAGAGCATGTCCTTGACCCTGGTCCTTTTATTGCAACAGGTACAGGTGAATCCCTGGTCACTCTATTTGAATCAGAATAATCTGATATTAATGTTTTTAAATTTAAACTCACCTTTTGGGCTCTTGTAGGGACCATAAGAGGTGAAGTGTTTGTAAAAGCCATCCCCTAAAATAAAAGAAAATTAATTAAAATATTTTTTTTTCAAATCATTTTAATCATTTCACCCTAAGCAAAGGCAATAAAGCCATTAAGTTGCACAGGTTACTGTGTGTTGGAGAATATGAGAAAAACTACTATTAAGGAGAGAGGACAATAAAAGAACAAGAATTAAGAAGACAGAAGATAACGATTGACATTACATTTAAATTTTTAAAGATCAAAATCAATAAAGCAAGTAGGACGCAAGGGGTTACTGAGTGTTAGAGAATATGAGAAAAACAACTATTAAGAAGTGTAGACAATAAAAATTAAATTAAGAAGACAGAAGATCATGAATTACATTGTTGACTGGGAAGCAAGAAAACAGCAAATGTTTAGGTACAGGTTCCACAAGTCCAAACATTTCACAAGTCAGACCCATCAGGCTACATACACAGAGCAGATATAATCATTCCCTTTATATTCCATTGATAAGGAGAAAGTTCAAATTCAGATAGCTTCTCCCCCAGAACTATTGCATTGCAGAACACACTCCTGAGAGGGTGCTTCCCAGTTCACTACAATCTTAATTTCTTAAGTTCTGTCCTATCAGTTAGAAGCCATTATCAAAATGCAAGATAGATAACATGAACAGAATTAATAAATTTTGCAATGAATCTATAGGTATATATCACGCACTGTTTCTATCTGTCATCTCAAGGCACCAGACCTGTTCAAAAATATCTAAATTGTCATCTGTATGCAACTGCATTCTCAGATCGATGGTTAAAAATGACATTGAGCTAGTGAAGCGTGTGAGTCTTGACACTGACCACACTTCTTCAAATATTGTGCACTAGTGCTACCGAATCACAAAGAACTGTTACCAAATAACAGAAACTACATCACTTGAGGACTTGCAACAACAACTAAAATGGATATCACATGTAACACAAAGAGAAAATAATGGCATAATCAAGATGTTGACTTCTACACTACTTTGAACAAAAGGTTAGGAAGGAAACTCCCATCAATACTGGAAAGAGTGATAACAGCTACTGGACTTGAGAAAATGATTTTCCTGAAAAAATGCTTTAATGGAAAGATTTTCTAAATTTCAACCAAAAGAAGTACTGGTTTCTTAGTTAATGTTTCCTTATAAGTAAACAGATAATAATGAGATAGAAGACATTGTCAAGATGCAAGATAAATAACACAAACAGAATTAATAAAGTTTGCAATGAAAAGAAAAAAAGATCAAAAAAGATGAAACAGCATCAATCATGCAAACAAGCAAACAATTTTGTTAAATCAAATCAAAATTGGTAAGAAGGCAAAAGAATTCACAAACTATGTTGGTGTTTGTACAAAAAAGCAAGGTCGGACAAGCGAACTTCGGTATAGCCTCGTCTTGGTTCCTCTCTGCCTGAAGATAGTTTGGCAAGTCAGCCTAAACTGCCTGAATCGGCAGATTTGGACTGAGGATATTTATTCCTGAATAAAACAGAAAATGTGGCACAAGGCCAAAATGGGGAAAAGGTCGGTCTTAACTTTAAACTTAGCTAGCCACAAACACTGACCCAATCATATTTACAATATTCCTTGCACCAAAACAACACATTCCTACTTACCTTTCTCACCACACCTGCTATAATACCTCATTGTCTCAATGAGAATACTAACTAGTCCCCATATATACAATATATTGTCTGGGGGGTTGAATAAAACAATTTAAAAAATTTTAAAACTAACCCCAATGAGTATTTACAGTATGAACTAATAACTATTTACAAGAAACTAAACAAAATCATATTAGTAATAAAAAAACCCACAATCACTAAATGTGGCAGAAACATCAGTTAACTGGACGAAATTAATGTGGGACTGTGATAAAATAACACATTTATCCCAAGCACTCATTCAGACACAACAAATATGAAAACACACACGAAACGAAAGACGCCCCGCATCCACCAGAGAGCTGATGTCACTGACCACCTAACGAGGAAGAGGATAGGGAATTATACTTAAAGAAAAATAGCGGCAGAAATAAAAGGGGCCAATGAGCATACATACCCTAGCTAAGTTTATTGAAGAAAAAAAAGAAACTAAAAATTCAAAAAACCAAACCTAAGCTAACCTAATTTTGGGATGGATTGCCTGTGTTCAACCCAGGCAAGCAATATCCTGATGCCTAACTGGCATCAGTGCCACTCCAGGTCAGCCCCTTTCACACGACACAAACATGCAAGATTCACCCACCTTTTGCCGAATTCTGATAAAGTGAGTTGCCGCCTTTCAATTCTGATCTTAACCTTAAGCTGATGCTTAAAGTATAAGATCAGTTGGGAAGAAATGAACTTCTCGCCTTCATAGAATCCCTTCTGACGTGTCATCCAAATCACAACTCTCATAACATAAGAACACATAATGTTCAGACTTTGTCCTTGAGGCTGCTTTTGTCTGTAGCAATGTGGCTCCACTGTTGACAAAGAACTTTCCAGGCAGCATGTGAAACATGAGGCCTTCACCATACTTGCACAATGGTACTACCACCTTTCAATAAAAGAAGGTGTGACCAATGGTCTCGATTTCCCCACTACAGCGCCAGCAGTTTGGATATTTGTCCAAGCCTGCTGTGCAAAGTCTCTTGGTGACCCAGAGAGCCCAATGCATCACCAGCCAGGTAAGTAATGCCTCATTGTTATAGAGACATTTCAACCTGGGTGCCCAAGGTCATATTGAGCGAGCCTCCTGCTTTGTAAGACCGAGCTCGTCAATCAGTTCATCACAAACGGCCCCACTAACTAACACCTGATATAATGCCTTACCAGACAATGCCTGGACATTGGAGAGGCCATCCAATGCCCATAAGAGGCATTTCAGAGCACGACGACATTCACGGTAGAAGGAGCACTCAACTCGGGGTAAACGGGAGGCCTCCTACTCGCACGAGTGCACACTTCTCAAGGATGGGAAGTACTTATGGGCATCTTCCTTCTAGAAGGTGCCCACCTCATCCAATTTGCGACACATTCATCCAGGAATCTGATGCGAAGCATATATCGATGAATCTCAATGCTAGGCATACCTAGACCACCTTCAGATGGATGAAGGCAACAGATCTCCCAAGAGACTCTGGCAGCCTTGCCTCCCGACAAAAAGTAGAACAAGAGCCTCATTAACACCAGTAAAGTGTCAGACAGAAGTGGAAGCACAGTAAGTCGGTAAAGGAGAATCAGGCAGATGTTTGAAACACCTACTTCTGCCCTCCCCTTTAAGGAAAGAATCCTCCGAGTCCACAAATTAATTGCAATCTTCCCTTGCACCTCCGACTAATTCATTTCCAACTGGAGATCAGGACCGAACCAGATGCCAAGAATCTTGACCGGACCATCCATCAAGAGGAAAGGTCCAGGAAGAGAAACTCCCTTCCACGCACCCAACCGCAAACCAACAGACTTATCGCAGTTGATCTTGGCCCCTGTCACTATCTCATAACCACTGATTTCTTTGCTGACTTCGTCAATATCAGCCCTGCTTGACACAAGAACCGAAACATCATCAGTATAGGCTAATACCTGGGCGAGGTGGTAGCACCAGGTAAAGAAATTTCACGTAGGACTGGATTCGTCTTTAACTTGCGAAGGAAAGGTTCCAACGCAAGAACATAAAGCAAAGGTGAAATTGGACAACCTGGACGAATGGAGTGAGACAATATGAAAGGCTCCGATTGTACTCCATTCACCTCCACCAGTGTACCAGGGGTCGCATACAGAAGTCAGATCCAGGTGTGAAAATATGGCCCAAAACCGGCCGCCAAAAGGACAGCCTCGTGAAAGTGATGGTCAACCCTATCGAAGGCCTTGGACTGATCTAAATTGATCAGCGCGGCTTCACTGTCAACTTGCTTGATGATCAAGCGTACCATATCAAGGTTGTCCTGAAGAGTCTTGCCCTTCACAGCACAAGTCTGTTTGGAGCCAATCAGACAAGAGAGGACAGCCTGCAAACGGTTTGTTAAGACCTTAGCCAAAATCTTTAACTCTGTGTTTAACATAGTTAAAGGGCGAATGTTACCTAACCCATCACCTTACGTAACAACTTGATTACGCCCCTGGTGAAGCATTGGGGTATAGACCCCTGCTTCATCCAGTTGCTGAAAATCAGTGCCAGCAAGGGAACAAAAATGGGCGACTGCCTCAAGTACACTTCGTACGGAAGACCATTTAATTCCGGAGATTTGTCCAAGCTAACCTGTTTCAGCGCTTCCCAGTTTTCCGACTCTGTAATGGGATACTTGCACCTAGCCACTTCAGCTGCCTCAAGGCAGGGAAAGTCAGCTAAATAGGCATCGAACTGAGCAGGGCTTAGACCTGGCTCCCTGGTGAAAAGTTTCTGAAAGTACTCACGAAAAGCCTCACATATGCCCTCGTTTGTGGTCACGGTCCACTTATCCAGCAATATGACGCATGCAATATGTTACCAAGATGCACATCGAACTTCCTTTGCACGCAATTCAGCAGCCATATTCATTGCCTCAGAAGACATTCTTTTTAACCTAGCCCTAACTACCAGAGCTTGATCCTTCTTGATAAGCAAAGAGCCCAACTCTGCCTTAGCTAAGGCTGTGTCCCCACTATCATGGGATTTAATTGCCCAATCAACTTTGCCGAATCAGCAGCGAACGTTCAAATTTTAGATTTCCACCAGGCATTTCCAACCACAGCCCCCATCAGTTCCCTCTGTATCATTAGTAGCAGCTGGTTCCGGAAATCTTGCTCCCCAAATAATGAGCAGTTCAATTTCAAGTAACCAGCCATCTTAACCTTAGTCTTATCTAAGTTTACCGGACTAGCCTATGATCCGAATAAACTATATAATGGAAACTTGGACACCCTAAGAGCCCTACATCGACTCTCCTGACTAAGACTCGGTTGAGGTAGCTAGAACATGCGTCAGTAACCGAGCCGCCACTATTAGTTCAAGTCCACACTACCTCCCGAGGGTGTTCATTTCGGTACTCA